TGTAGCAGTGATAACGCTCAGGTGACTTTCTCAACATGACAATAGGTACCGGACACGTGGAAAGACCCCCGAACCAGCAGCTGCCCTCAGTCCTATTCCGCGGTAATCGATGAGCAGACAGAAAAAGCCGATTAAAAACCCGAGGCCACTAAACGGGCGATATCCCAATCCTTGAAATTGCCCAGAGCCTAAACCACCGTGAACCCTATGTTAACCCATGTGAGGGGAACTCCCTCGTTTGGTGGACGGGTTTTCCATTCGATTTCCATTGTCATTTTTATTTATTCCTTTTTGAGATTTATTTTTGGTCAAGAGTGTTTGAGAGCGATACATGCCGGTATTAAACTTGTTGTGAGATTTCTTGGCTCCCTATAGGTAACACATCAAACTGTGGAATCAAAACCTGAAAATGCAATATGAGTTTGTGATTGGCCATCATTGCTGATTGTGTTTGAGAGACAGGTAGCAAGAATTTTGCGACTGTCAAAGTCGTTTGTTTTGGTAAGGAGGAATGCAGCATCAGAATGCAATGATACACGTGATCTCTGTTGACTGTGCCTGCACACAAGGGTATGAAGGATGACACAGATATGTCCTTTCATTGCATTGGTTTAACCACCATGACATCAACATGAACATTACGTCAGAGGGACAGAGCAAGGGACATTTGGCGCTTACAGAGTCAGATAAGTTGTCAGACGGCCCCAAAAGGCACCATCTGTTATGCACGGGGTCCAGACCCATTGCGAAGTCAAGGAACGACCACGTTCAAGCAGACCTAGACCAGTCACCAGACCTAAGGACCATTATGTCAACTTTCACAACAGTAGGAGCACTGAGACTATAAGTGAGGACATCCAATGGAGTCCAAGTATTAGCTGCACGGACGAGATCCCTCAGTCAATTGTTCTCGTTTTGACCTGTTGCCACGCTATATCGTGTCTGTGTCCAAATGACAAAACCTTTGTGTCCTAATATGTATTCGAAGTATAATTGGAATCACTACCTTGACACATAGACGGGAATATATCATATCAGCTGGAGTCACTACCTTGACACATAGACGGGAATCTATCATATCAGCTGGAGCCACTACCTTGACACATAGACGGGAATATATCATATCAGCTGGAGTCACTACCTTGACACATAGACAGGAATATATCATATCAGCTGGAGCCACTGCCTTGACACATAGACGGGAATATATCATATCAGCTGGAGCCACTACCTTGACACATAGACGGGAATATATCATATCAGCTGGAGTCAATACCTTGACACATGGACAGGAATGTATCATATCAGCTGGAGCCACTACCTTGACACATAGACGAGGATCTATCATATCAGCTGGAGCCACTACCTTGACACATAGACAGGAATATATCATATCAGCTGGAGTCACTACCTTGACACATAGACAGGAATATATCATATCAGCTGGAGTCACTACCTTGACACATAGACAGGAATATATCATATCAGCTGGAGCCACTGCCTTGACACATAGACGGGAATATATCATATCAGCTGGAGCCACTACCTTGACACATAGACGGGAATATATCATATCAGCTGGAGTCAATACCTTGACACATAGACGGGAATATATCATATCAGCTGGTCACTACCTTGACACATAGACAGGAATATATCATATCAGCTGGAGCCACTGCCTTGACACATAGACGGGAATATATCATATCAGCTGGAGCCACTACCTTGACACATAGACGGGAATATATCATATCAGCTGGAGCCACTACCTTGACACATAGACGGGAATATATCATATCAGCTGGAGTCAATACCTTGACACATGGACAGGAATGTATCATATCAGCTGGAGCCACTACCTTGACACATAGACGAGGATCTATCATATCAGCTGGAGCCACTACCTTGACACATATACGGGAATATATCATATCAGCTGGAGTCACTACCTTGACACATAGACGGGAATATATCATATCAGCTGGAGCCACTGCCTTGACACATAGACGGGAATATATCATATCAGCTGGAGCCACTACCTTGACACATAGACGGGAATATATCATATCAGCTGGAGTCAATACCTTGACACATGGACAGGAATGTATCATATCAGCTGGAGCCACTACCTTGACAACACATAGACGAGGATCTATCATATCAGCTGGAGCCACTACCTTGACACATAGACAGGAATATATCATATCAGCTGGAGTCACTACCTTGACACATAGACAGGAATATATCATATCAGCTGGAGTCACTACCTTGACACATAGACAGGAATATATCATATCAGCTGGAGCCACTGCCTTGACACATAGACGGGAATATATCATATCAGCTGGAGCCACTACCTTGACACATAGACGGGAATATATCATATCAGCTGGAGTCAATACCTTGACACATAGACGGGAATATATCATATCAGCTGGAGTCACTACCTTGACACATAGACAGGAATATATCATATCAGCTGGAGCCACTGCCTTGACACATAGACGGGAATATATCATATCAGCTGGTCAATACTTTACCTTGACACATAGACGGGAATATATCATATCAGCTGGAGTCACTACCTTTAACACATAGACGGGAATCTATCATATCAGCTGGAGTCAATACCTTTGACACATGGACAGGAATCTATCATATCAGCTGGAGCCAATACTTTGACACATAGACGAGAATCTATCATATCAGCTGGAGCCAATACTTTGACACATGGACGGGAATATATCATATCAGCTGGAGTCACTACCTTGACACATAGACGGGGATATATCATATCAGCTGGAGCCACTATCTTGACACATAGACGGTGATATATCATATCAGCTGGAGCCACTACCTTGACACATAGACGGGAATATATCATATCAGCTGGAGTCACTACCTTGACACATAGACGGGGATATATCATATCAGCTGGAGCCACTATCTTGACACATAGACGGTGATATATCATATCAGCTGGAGCCACTACCTTGACACATAGACGGGAATATATCATATCAGCTGGAGTTAATACTTTAACACATGGACTGGAATCGATCATATCAACTGGAGTCAATACTTTAACACATAGACGGGAATCTATCATATCAACTGGAGTCACTACTTTAACACATGGACTGGAATCTAGCATATCAACTGGAGTGAATACTTTAACACATAGACGGGAATCTATCATATCAACTGGAGTCAATACTTTAACACATGGACAGGAATCTATCATATCAACTGGAGTCAATACTTTAACACATGGGCAGGAATCTATCATATCAACTGGAGTGAATACTTTAACACATAGACGGGAATCTATCATATCAACTGGAGTCAATACTTTAACACATGGACGGGAATCTATCATATCAACTATCAACATAGGAGTCAATACTTTAACACATGGACGGGAATCTATCATATCAACTGGAGTCAATACTTTAACACATGGACGAGAATATATCAATCTATCATACTTTAACACATGGACGGGAATCTATCATATCAACTGGAGTGAATACTTAACACATGGACAGGAATCTATCATATCAACTGGAGTCAATACTTTAACACATGGACGGGAATCTATCATATCAACTGGAGTCAATACTTTAACACATGGACGGGAATCTATCATATCAACTGGAGTCAATACTTTAACACATGGACGGGAATCTATCATATCAACTGGAGTCAATACTTTAACACATGGACAGGAATCTATCATATCAACTGGAGTCAATACTTTAACACATGGACAGGAATCTATCATATCAACTGGAGTCAATACTTTAACACATGGACAGGAATCTATCATATCAACTGGAGTCAATACTTTAACACATGGACAGGAATCTATCATATCAACTGGAGTCAATACTTTAACACATGGACGGGAATCTATCATATCAACTGGAGTCAATACTTTAACACATAGACGGGAATCTATCATATCAACTGGAGTCAATACTTTAACACATGGACGGGAATCTATCATATCAACTGGAGTCATCATATCAAACACACTTTAACACATAGACGGGAATCTATCATATCAACTGGAGTCAATACTTTAACACATGGACGGGAATCTATCATATCAACTGGAGTCAATACTTTAACACATGGACGGGAATCTATCATATCAACTGGAGTCAATACTTTAACACATAGACGGGAATCTATCATATCAACTGGAGTGAATACTTTAACACATAGACGGGAATCTATCATATCAACTGGAGTCACTACTTTAACACATAGACGGAAAAATTACATATCATTTGGAGCCACTACTTTAACACATGGAAGTGGATAAATCACGGCAGGTGTTAGTCATTACTCGGACATAGGTAAGTACTTATATCCCGACAGTTTCAAGACACGTGACCAATACAAAAGTGGGGAGCAGGTGGGCCTGTCATGCGCAGTGCGTGGGCAAACCATCAAAGAAAGATTTCGACTGATTAAGAACAAACTTGAGCTAAATTGATTTCACGGTTTCATTTCATTTCATCACTTACAACGAGACAGGAGGACCCAGGGGACGGGGCTGCAAAACGAAAGTATAGGAGGGTTACGGAACTAGGCAGACAGTCTCGCAGAGGTAGCATGTGCTGAAAGCATACACTCGTAAACTGACAATTAACCTGTGCGGGCAGCTGGCGTAAAAGCTATTCTAGATGGTTGGGCAGATGAAATATGTCCCCTACTCCGTGATTGGTACTGAGACAGAACGGGAACTGTCTTAGCCGTTGTCAGAATAAAACGACTGTGTATGAGAGATCCGCCTGGGGACTTGGGCATTGGGATACATATCGCCACTCTTGTCAACCTGCGGCGTTATCTAACTCAGAGATAAATAACACGTGAATCAGATTAGTCGCTCTGTTTCTTTGTGACTCGTATGATATAAACTCCAGTCTGATTTCAACATTAGTCGGTTATTGCCATGAAACTAGCATTCTGTGCCCACTTCGTACAATCAGTTATTGGTTGCAGTGTGGAGTATGGAGGCTGGTGGTGGGGAGGGGACGGTTGGCCATGTGGATGGCAGGGGGGAGGGTATTGTGCTGGTGGTGGAGATAGCCATGTGGATGGCAGGGGAGAGGGTATTGTGCTGGTGGTTGAGATGGCCATGTGGAGGGCAGGGGAGAGGGTATTGTGCTGGTGGTGGAGATGGCCATGTGGATGGGCATGGAGGGAGAGGGTATTGTGCTGGTGGTGGAGATAGCCATGTGGAGAGGGCATTGTGGTGGTGGTGGAGATGTGCTGGTGGCTGGAGATGGCCATGTGGAGGGCAGGGGAGAGGGTATTGTGCTGGTGGTGGAGATAGCCATGTGGAGGGCAGGGGAGAGGGTATTGTGCTGGTGGTTGAGATGGCCATGTGGAGGGCAGGGGAGAGGGTATTGTGCTGGTGGTTGAGATGGCCATGTGGAGGGCAGGGGAGAGGGTATGTGCTGGTGGTTGAGATGGCCATGTGGAGGGCAGGGGAGATTGTGGTATTGTGCTGGTGGTGGAGATAGCCATGTGGAGGGCATGGGGAGAGGGTATTGTATTGTGCTGGTGGTTGAGATGGCCATGTGGAGGGCAGGGGAGAGGGTATTGTGCTGGTGGTTGAGATGGCCATGTGGAGGGCAGGGGAGAGGGTATTGTGCTGGTGGTTGAGATGGCCATGTGGAGGGCAGGGGAGAGGGTATTGTGCTGGTGGTGGAGATGGCCGTGTGGAGGGCAGGGGAGAGGGTATTGTGCTGGTGGTGGAGATGGCCGTGTGGAGGGCAGGGGAGAGGGTATTGTGCTGGTGGTTGAGATGGCCATGTGGAGGAGAGAGGGTAGAGGGTAGCCATGTGGAGGGCAGGGGACTGGTGGTGGAGAGATGGCCATGTGGAGGGCAGGGGAGAGGGTATTGTGCTGGTGGTGGGAGATGGCCATGTGGAGGGCAGGGGGAGAGGGTATTGTGCTGGTGGTTGAGAGATGGCCGTGGTGGAGGGCAGGAGAGAGGGTATTGTGCTGGTGGTTGAGATGGCCATGTGGAGGGGCAGGGGAGAGGTATTGTGCTGGTGGTTGAGGATAGCCATGTGGAGGGGCAGGGGAGAGGGGTATTGTGCTGGTGGTTGAGATGGCCATGTGGAGGGCAGGGGAGAGTGTGTGCTGGTGGTTGAGATAGCCGTGTGGAGGGGCAGGGGGGAGGGTACTGTGCTGGTGGTGGAGATGGCCATGTGGAGGGCAGGGGAGAGGGTATTGTGCTGGTGCAGGAGATGGCCGTGTGGAGGGCAGGGGGAGGTATTGTGTGCTGGTGGTTAGAGATAGCCATGTGGGAGGGGCAGGAGAAAGGTGTATTGTGCTGGTGGTTGAGATGGCCATGTGGAGGGCAGGGGAGAGGGTATGTGTGCTGGTGGTTGGTTGGAGATGGCCATGTGGAGGGCAGGGGGAGAGGGTATTGTGCTGGTGGTTAGAGAGGATGGCCATGTGGAGGGCAGGGGAAAGGGTATTGTGCTGGTGGTTGAGATGGCCATGTGGAGACAGGGCAGGGGGAGAGGGTATTATGCTGGTGGTTGAGATAGCCATGTGGAGGGCAGGGGAGAGGGTATGGGGCTGGTGGTTGAGATAGCCACGTGGAGGGCAGGGGAGAGGGTATGGGGCTGGTGGTGGAGATGGCCATGTGGAGGGCAGGGGAGAGGGTATTGTGCTGGTGGTTGAGATGGCCATGTGGAGGGCAGGGAGAAGGGTACATGCTGGTGGTGGAGATGGCCATGTGGAGGGCAGGGGAGAGAGCTGTATGGGGCTGGTGGTGGAGATGGCCGTGTGGAGGGCAGGGAGAGGGTATGGGGCTGGTGGTGGAGATGGCCATGTGGAGGGCAGGGGGAGAGAAGTACTGTGCTGGTGGTTGAGAGATAGCCATGTGGAGGGCAGGGGAGAGGGTACTGTGCTGATGGTTAGAGATAGCCATGTGGAGGAGCAGGGGAGAGTATTGTGCTGGTGGTTAGAGATGGCCATGTGGAGGGCAGGGAAGAGGGTATGGGGCTGATGGTTAGAGATGGCCATGTGGAGGGCAGGGGAGAGGGTATGGGGCTGGTGGTGGAGACAGGCCATGGAGGCAGCAGGAAAAGAGGAGTACTGTGCTGAGGAGAATAGCCATGTGGAGGGCGAGGGAGAAGTATGGTGCTGGTGGTTAGGAGATAGCCATGTGGAGGAGCAGGAGAGAGGGTATGGGGCTGATGGTGGAGATGGCCATGTGGAGAGAGAGGTATGGGGCCATGGTTGAGATGGCCGTGTGGAGGGCAGGGGAGAGGTATGGGGCTGGTGGTGGAGATGGCCGTGTGGAGGACAAGGGAAAGTATGGGGCTGGTGGTGGAGATGGCCATGTGGAGGACAGGGAAAGTATGGGGCTGGTGGTTGAGATGGCCATGTTGAGGACAGGGAAAGTATGGGGCTGGTGGTGGAGATGGCCATGTTGAGGACAGGGAAAGTATGGGGCTGGTGGTGGAGATGGCCATGTTGAGGACAGGGAAAGTATGGGGCTGGTGGTGGAGATGGCCATGTGGAGGACAGGGAAAGTATGGGGCTGGTGGTGGAGATTGCCAGAGTAGGTCTGGTGCTGGCGGTGGGGAGCGGACGGATGTCCCATGTGGAGGAGAGGGCGAGTATTGGGCTGGTGGTGGAGATGGCCATGTGGAGGGCAGGGGAGAGGGTATGGGGCTGGTGGTGGAGATGGCCATGTGGAGGACAGGGGGAGAGTATGGGGCTGGTGGTGGAAATGGCCATGTGGAGGGCAGGGGAGAGGGTATGGGGCTGGTGGTGGAGATGGCCATGTGGAGGACAGGGAGAGTATGGGGCTGGTGGTGGAGATGGCCAGAGTAGGTCTGGTGCTGGCGGTGGGGAGCGGACGGATGTCCCATGTGGAGGACAGGGCGAATATTGGGCTGGTGGTGGGGAGGGGCGATGTATCGTATGGAAAGAGTCAAGGATGGATGAGGGTGGTGGAGCATGGTGTCTCGTGTCGCAAGGGTGTGCCTGATTGGGGTTTCAACAGAGGTTTGGGGTTGGCAGTGTAACAGTCTCGACCTGATATTTGTTGACAGAAAGTGGTAGCTGTAACTATAATGTGACAACTGTGACGATATTGTGGAGCCATTAATTGCGGTGCTTCGATATCAATCGATGGTCAGGTGTTTTACCAGTTTGCGGTTATTCTGAAGTGCGTCTTGTCCTTTCATACCAACATTTACTGGGGCTTTAATACCGGTGTCATTCTTGCATCCGAATTTGTTGATTTACAACAAGGTCTCTTTAAGAAGAACATTAGCGGTGACCAGCCCACAATACCAGCACTGTCAGCAATACCATCTGAGCCTGCTAAAGTATGCTGGTCATATGTCGCTGGTATTTTGGAATATGTCATGGAATATGTTCACTAGAAATGAGGCATTCATAACTTTAAAATTAAACCACACTGCCATGTACGATTTCATACTGAATGACACCACCAACACATGTCGATGTATTCTCGGCCTATACCAGCACCGTCAATACTAATATACATGTCGATGTATTCACGGCCTATACCAGCACCGTCAATACTAATATACATGTCGATGTATTCACGGCCTATACCAGCACCGTCAGTGCAAATACACATGTCGATGTATTCTCGGCCTATACCAGCACCGTCAATACAAGTACACATGTTGATGTATTCACGGCCTATACCAGCACCGTCAATACTAATATACATGTCGATGTATTCTCGGCCTATACCAGCACGGTCAATGCAAATACACATGTCGATGTATTCACGGCCTATACCAGCACCGTCAATACAAATACACATGTCGATGTATTCTCGGCCTATACCAGCACCGTCAATACAAATACACATGTCGATGTATTCACGGCCTATACCAGCACCGTCAATACAAATACACATGACGATGTATTCACGGCTATACCAGCAACGTCAATACAAATACACATGTCGATGTATTCTCGGCCTATACCAGTCAGCACCGTCAATACAAATACACATGTTGATGTATTCTCGGCCTATACCAGCACCGTCAATACAAATACACATGTCGATGTATTCTCGGCCTATACCAGCAACGTCAATACAAGTACACATGTCGATGTATTCACGGCCTATACCAGCACCGTCAATACTAATATACATGTCGATGTATTCACGGCCTATACCAGCACCGTCAGTGCAAATACACATGTCGATGTATTCTCGGCCTATACCAGCACCGTCAATACAAGTACACATGTTGATGTATTCACGGCCTATACCAGCACCGTCAATACTAATATACATGTCGATGTATTCTCGGCCTATACCAGCACGGTCAATGCAAATACACATGTCGATGTATTCACGGCCTATACCAGCACCGTCAATACAAATACACATGTCGATGTATTCTCGGCCTATACCAGCACCGTCAATACAAATACACATGTCGATGTATTCACGGCCTATACCAGCACCGTCAATACAAATACACATGACGATGTATTCACGGCTATACCAGCAACGTCAATACAAATACACATGTCGATGTATTCTCGGCCTATACCAGTCAGCACCGTCAATACAAATACACATGTTGATGTATTCTCGGCCTATACCAGCACCGTCAATACAAGTACACATGTCGATGTATTCTCGGCCTATACCAGCAACGTCAATACAAGTACACATGTCGATGTATTCACGGCCTATACCAGCACCGTCAATACTAATATACATGTCGATGTATTCACGGCCTATACCAGCACCGTCAATGCAAATACACATGTCGATGTATTCACGGCCTATACCAGCACCGTCAATACAAATACACATGTCGATGTATTCTCGGCCTATACAAGCACCGTCAATACAAATACACATGTCGATGTATTCACGGCCTATACCAGCACCGTCAATACAAATACACATGACGATGTATTCACGGCTATACCAGCAACGTCAATACAAATACACATGTCGATGTATTCTCGGCCTATACCAGTCAGCACCGTCAATACAAATACACATGTTGATGTATTCTCGGCCTATACCAGCACCGTCAATACAAATACACATGTCGATGTATTCTCGGCCTATACCAGCACCGTCAATACAAATACACATGACGATGTATTCACGGCCTATACCAGCACCGTCAATACTAATATACATGTCGATGTATTCACGGCCTATACCAGGACCGTCAATGCAAATACACATGTCGATGTATTCACGGCCTATACCAGCACCGTCAATACAAATACACATGTCGATGTATTCTCGGCCTATACCAGCACCGTCAATACAAATACACATGTCGATGTATTCACGGCCTATACCAGCACCGTCAATACAAATACACATGACGATGTATTCACGGCTATACCAGCAACGTCAATACAAATACACATGTCGATGTATTCTCGGCCTATACCAGTCAGCACCGTCAATACAAATACACATGTTGATGTATTCTCGGCCTATACCAGCACCGTCAATACAAGTACACATGTCGATGTATTCTCGGCCTATACCAGCAACGTCAATACAAGTACACATGTCGATGTATTCACGGCCTATACCAGCACCGTCAATACTAATATACATGTCGATGTATTCACGGCCTATACCAGCACCGTCAATGCAAATACACATGTCGATGTATTCTCGGCCTATACCAGCACCGTCAATACAAGTACACATGTTGATGTATTCACGGCCTATACCAGCACCGTCAATACTAATATACATGTCGATGTATTCTCGGCCTATACCAGCACGGTCAATGCAAATACACATGTCGATGTATTCACGGCCTATACCAGCACCGTCAATACAAATACACATGTCGATGTATTCTCGGCCTATACCAGCACCGTCAATACAAATACACATGTCGATGTATTCACGGCCTATACCAGCACCGTCAATACAAATACACATGACGATGTATTCACGGCTATACCAGCAACGTCAATACAAATACACATGTCGATGTATTCTCGGCCTATACCAGTCAGCACCGTCAATACAAATACACATGTTGATGTATTCTCGGCCTATACCAGCACCGTCAATACACAAGTACACATGTCGATGTATTCTCGGCCTATACCAGCAACGTCAATACAAGTACACATGTCGATGTATTCACGGCCTATACCAGCACCGTCAATACTAATATACATGTCGATGTATTCACGGCCTATACCAGCACCGTCAATGCAAATACACATGTCGATGTATTCACGGCCTATACCAGCACCGTCAATACAAATACACATGTCGATGTATTCTCGGCCTATACAAGCACCGTCAATACAAATACACATGTCGATGTATTCACGGCCTATACCAGCACCGTCAATACAAATACACATGACGATGTATTCACGGCTATACCAGCAACGTCAATACAAATACACATGTCGATGTATTCTCGGCCTATACCAGTCAGCACCGTCAATACAAATACACATGTTGATGTATTCTCGGCCTATACCAGCACCGTCAATACAAATACACATGTCGATGTATTCTCGGCCTATACCAGCACCGTCAATACAAATACACATGACGATGTATTCACGGCCTATACCAGCACCGTCAATACTAATATACATGTCGATGTATTCACGGCCTATACCAGGACCGTCAATGCAAATACACATGTCGATGTATTCACGGCCTATACCAGCACCGTCAATACAAATACACATGTCGATGTATTCTCGGCCTATACAAGCACCGTCAATACAAATACACATGTCGATGTATTCACGGCCTATACCAGCACCGTCAATACAAATACACATGACGATGTATTCACGGCTTTACCAGCAACGTCAATACAAATACACATGTCGATGTATTCTCGGCCTATACCAGTCAGCACCGTCAATACGAATACACATGTCGATGTATTCTCGGCCTATACCAGCACCGTCAATACAAATACACATGTCGATGTATTCTCGGCCTATACCAGCACCGTCAATACAAGTACACATGTTGATGTATTCACGGCCTATACCAGCACCGTCAATACTAATGAACATGTCGATGTATTCACGGCCTATACCAGCACCGTCAATGCAAATACACATGTCGATGTATTCACGGCCTATACCAGCACCGTCAATACAAATACACATGTCGATGTATTCTCGGCCTATACAAGCACCGTCAATACAAATACACATGTCGATGTATTCACGGCCTATACCAGCACCGTCAATACAAATACACATGACGATGTATTCACGGCTTTACCAGCAACGTCAATACAAATACACATGTCAATGTATTCTCGGCCTATACCAGTCAGCACCGTCAATACAAATACACATGTCGATGTATTCTCGGCCTATACCAGCACCGTCAATACAAGTACACATGTCGATGTATTCTCGGCCTATACCAGCACCGTCAATACAAGTACACATGTCGATGTATTCACGGCCTATACCAGCACCGTCAATACTAATATACATGTCGATGTATTCACGGCCTATACCAGCACCGTCAATGCAAATACACATGTCGATGTATTCACGGCCTATACCAGCACCGTCAATGCAAATACACATGTCGATGTATTCACGGCCTATACCAGCACCGTCAATACAAATACACATGTCGATGTATTCTCGGCCAATACAAGCACCGTCAATACAAATACACATGACGATGTATTCACGGCCTATACCAGCACCGTCAATACAAATACACATGACGATGTATTCACGGCTTTACCAGCAACGTCAATACAAATACACATGTCAATGTATTCTCGGCCTATACCAGTCAGCACCGTCAATATAAATACAAATGTCGATGTATTCTCGGCCTATACCAGCACCGTCAATACAAGTACACATGTCGATGTATTCTCGGCCTATACCAGCACCGTCAATACAAGTACACATGTCGAT